CTAGGACCACTCTACCCATTACGGCTTTCGCTGTCGCAGGCGTTCCCCTGCTCTATAGCTTTTGTCATGCAAGCCGGTTGGAAGTGGAAGAGTTTGAAAGAAATTCATACAAGTTGAAAACAGTAAGATTTCGAATCACCCACAAAATATACAGTCAATTCGCTTTACCGTATATTCCGTGACGTGCTTTGAGACGTCTTGACGAGGTGATAATATCAAAAGCATAGATTATTACTATTATTATTATTTTGTTTTCAGATACAAAGCACATAATTGTGATTCTGAAACAACGCCAAGCTCTCAAGAGCAACAATAACAATAATAATCCTTGCATTTGATATCGTGCCTTATCACATCTTCATCGTTCGCAGGCTTACAGAGTATATAAAACTTGAGACTCTTGGGAAAGGTGACCTGCCAACATTATCTCTCTCCAGCTAAACAGGTTTTGGTGAATAAATATTCCTAAGCTCAAAATTCTCTTTTCACTTGATCGGGGATGAGACGCTTAATGACTTGGGAGTGGCTGTGCTTTTAGGAAAGTGCTCATCAGCACTTTGCCTGGTGAGAAAGATAACTGAAGTACCCTTCCATGATAGAGAAAAGACTTCCTCCTGGCCGATTGCAGAATGGGATCCGATTCCTATCTGCAAAGGAAATTGCTGCTGTTTATCCACAAGATGAACTATCTAAGTGTCCACTCATCACAGCAACGGGCTCTAATGCAGGAAATGGACGCGGACCTGTGAAATACTGACAGAACCCCCACCTCGGCACAACACACACGCGCACACACGCACACTTGTGCTCAACGTTAATAGGGATGTGGTTTAGTCGCGCGGTTTAGAAACCTTGCAATAAAACCCCGCAACAGTGCAAAGTTGAGTGCTTAGAAGGTCAAGGTCAAAGAGATGAAGAGAGTGGGAAAGGTAAAGCGTTAAGAGACTCGGGAGAAGAAAGAAAGAGATTGGAGCGTAAAAGGACAAGCTACTGAGAGAGAGAAATACTGATAGAAATTCAGAAAAAGAATTAGACGCTCTGAATCAGACAGTGAAGGGTGGACACAGTGTGGTATTACAAATGGCAGTGTAACTCCTGATTGGGATCGCTTTTTAGTTAACACAGCAGCCAATTCCTATTTTGTTTCGTCAAATTATCCGCGCAGTTCGCTTATCCACAATGAAGCTGGGCCCAATTGGGGATAATTGGCTCTGTGCTGCGCTCTTTCAAGTCCATACTTCTCCCATTTTTACATATACTGTTTGGTTCTCCTTGAAGCTAACTACTTCCTTTATAAACAACAGGCGTTTACTTTAGAAGTAGTAATTTTGCTCTGGAAAGTATACTGCACACTTATTTTGTAACCTATGTATTTCCTCATTGCACAGCCTAAATTACTGGTCCATTTTAAGCCCATGAGTCAGACGGCTGTGGGTTCAAGCCCCATATCGGGATTTTGAACTTACAAGGCTTGGCTGACATTCCAGTTAAGGTTTCGGGGTGTGCTGAGTTGGTGTCCTGCTGATGAGACATTAAACAGAGGTCCCGTCCGCCTGTTCAGGAAGACGTTAAAGATCCAATGGCACTATCTGAAAGGTGAAGAGAATTTCTCCTGTTGTCCTGGCCAATAATTCCCTCAATAAAGTTTGGCTACTCACTTCATGACTGTTTGTGGGATGTTGCTGCGTACCAATGGGTTGCCATATTTGCTTACAAAGTACACTTTACAGTAATACTTGTGAAATGCTCCGAGACAGAGCACTAGACAAGCGAAAAGGCAGGCACCCTATCAAATGCAAAGATTATTTATTTATTCAACACCCCTCAAAGAATTCTCAAAGCATTTGACAGTAATTGCTGTTAAGTGTAGTGACTGTGCATTTGCAGAGAGCAATGTCCCACAAACAACCATGAAACGAATGATTAAATATTTTTTAGGACACCTTGAAAAACTTCCTTCTCTTTTCCAGTATAGTCTTTTGTTTAACATCCATCTGAACATACAGATGGGATCTCGGTTTAATATTTTATCTAAATGACAATACTTCTGAAAATAAGAAGCAGATGAGATTTACAAGAATGATACCAGGGATGAGGGGCCTTAATTATGTGGAGAGACGAGAGAGGCTGGGATTGATCTCCTTAGAGCGGAGAAGATTGAGGGGAGATTTAATAGAGGTGTTCAAAATTATGAGAGGCTTTGATAGAGTAGATGGAGAGAAATTGTTTCCTCTGGCGGTTGTGTCGGTAACCAGAGGACACAGATTTAAGATAGGCGAGAATTTTCTTTACCCAGAGAGTTGTTACGCTCCAGAATGCACGGCTTGAAAGGGTGGTGGAAGCAGATTTGATAGTAGCTTTCAAAAGAGAATCGGACTGGTATTTGAAAAGGAAAAGCTTGCAGGGCTGTGGGGCAAGAGATAGGGGAGCGGGACTAGTTGGGTAGCTGTTTCAAACAGGAACGATGGGCTGAATGGCCTCCTTCTGTGCTGTAAGGTTCTATGATTCTGACCTATACTGACAAATCATTAAACATCAGGTTCTCAGAAATCATACTTAAGAATGCTCTGGTCTGACCGCACCTACAGTAACTGCGTACAATTCTGAACCCCGTGATATGTACACTAGATGCAATGCGCAGAGCCACAAGGGATATTCCCAGTGTTAGAGGTATGAGCTGTGAGCAAATGGACAAACTAAGGCTCTTCCGTCTTGAGAGTCTTCAATAGATGCAGATCAATACTCTTGGATGGGCAAAATAAGAGGACGCAGGTCGCACAGGGCAATTTCAGGATAGACGTGATAGGGCGCTATATCGAATGCAAGGATTATTATTATTATTTTATTATTATTATTATTATATAGACACCGGGAAGTATTTCTAATTAATTAACACCTGGAGTAGGTGTTCTGAGACGCTACCATGTGTGGAGGGCGAGTTTAACTGGAAGTTGTTGTTGGAGATTACGATGAAGGGTGGTCGCGATGAGAATGCCGGACTCAATTAAAAAAACACAGCTTGTGGCTGTGATAGGACGATGGTAGGGCGTGTATTTGGGGGAAAGATCGATGACCTGAAGGGTATACTTCATCTGAACCTCTCTTGGCATCTGGTGACTGGATAGCTTCGGGTCGATATCGCAGCTGAGTCGGAATCTACCTGCGCTCATACGTTTTACGGAAGAGTTCACTGGATAGCGATCAGGAGCAGGAGTGACGTCTGTTTATTTGCAGCTCAGGGCATTAAACGCAGAGTTCCTTCCCGCGGCTTCAACCCACCCCCGCCTCACCCCTTACTGTGTTTGGCGTGCGAGTCCCCCTGGTTCCATTCCATTCACCCCCCCCACACGAGGGGCCTTCACATCTGCCTCTAGTGGATCCTGGAGCGATGTGCGAAATGCAGCGATTTAAGGCTACGAGCCATTTTTTTTTCTCTTTCGGGGTGGGTTTCTACTATGCGGACGCAAATCAGGTCACCCCTGAAACCGACCGCAACCTCCAGCTGCTTTGAGAGGCGAGCTCCAGCGCAATCCTTAACGCTCGCTCACATAACCCCCGTGTTTCCCAGATGCTAAATCCACGCTGATTCTTAGGCGAACGTCGCTGCGTTAATCCACCAACGACTTATATTTTTAACCCCCACCCGCCCCGCCCCGCCCCGGTTTTTTTTTTTCTGTTTGTCATCTGGACCCCTGAAGGGAATCTGGACCCCATTTGCGGATCGCAAATGACGTCTCTCCCTTTCGACTCGGGACTTTGCGAGGCCCCGTGCGTCCCCGTTTAGCAAATCGATCCTGGCCTTCGCTTTACGAGCGTAACGACACCTTGCGCCCCATTTTCTTTCGGATACCTACACGCCCCGAAGCTACGCTGGTGTGAACACTGGGCGTTTGCACGCGAGCGCTGTATCGACTGCAAGGATTATTATTATTATTATTATTATTATTATTAATTATTAATTAAACCACAAAAAAACACAGCCACACGCACACACACTCACACACGTGTAATAATAATAATAATAATAATAATCTTTGCATTTGATCGAGCGCCTTATCACGTTGTCGCGATATCTCTTTTCGTGGCTTTGTTTCTCATTCTCTCGCTCTCTATCCTCCTGTACCCCCTTCGTTTCTCGTTCCCTCTCTCTCCCCTCTGATCCGCGCTCTCATACCCTCCCTCTTCTTCGCCTGTTTCTCAATCCCTCTCTCTATCCTCTTTTTCGCCTCTTTGTTTCCCATTCCCTCTCTCCCCCTTTTCCTTTCTCATTCCCTCTCTCCCACCTTTTTGTTTCTCATTCTCTCCCTCCGCCCTCTTTCTTTCTCATTCCCTCTTTCCCACCTCTTGTCCTTTCTCATTCCCTCTCTCCCTTTTCCTTTCTCATTCCCTCTCTCCCTTTTCCTTTCTCATTCCCTCTCTCCCTTTTCCTTTCTCATTCCCTCTCTCCCTCTTCCTTTCTCATTCCCTCTCTCCCTTTTCCTTTCTCATTCCCTCTCTCCCTTTTCCTTTCTCATTCCCTCTCTCCCCTTTTCCTTTCTCATTCCCTCTCTCCCTTTTCCTTTCTCATTCCCTCTCTCCCCTTTTCCTTTCTCATTCCCTCTCTCCCTTTTCCTTTCTCATTCCCTCTCTCCCCTTTTCCTTTCTCATTCCCTCTCTCCCTTTTCTTTCTCATTCCCTCTCTCCCCTTTTCCTTTCTCATTCCCTCTCTCCCTTTTCCTTTCTCATTCCCTCTCTCCCTTTTCTTTCTCATTCCCTCTCTCCCCTTTTCTTTCTCATTCCCCCCTCTTGTCCTTTCTCATTCTTCCCCTCTTTTTCTTTCTCATTCCCTCTCCCTCTTCCTTTCTCATTCCCTCTCTCCCCCTTTTCCTTTCTCATTCCCTCTCCCTCTTCCTTTCTCATTCCCTCTCTCCCCCTTTTCCTTTCTCATTCTTCCCCTCTTTTTCTTTCTCATTCCCTCTCTCCCTTTTCCTTTCTCATTCCCTCCCTCTTTGTCACTGCCCTCTCTCTCTCTCTCTCTGTGTGTGTAAGTGCCGGAAGTCCTGCCCTGACAGTGGCTGTGGTGGGGGCTGTGTGTTGGATGGTGTCCCTCTCTCTGTGTGAGTGACTGTGAGTGGCTGTGGTGAGGGCTGTGTGTTGGATGGTGTCCCTCTCTCTGTGTGACTGTGAGTGGCTGTGGTGAGGGCTGTGTGTTGGATGGTGTCCCTCTCTCCCTCTCTCTCTCTGTGTGAGTGACTGTGAGTGAGTGTGAGGGCTGTGTGTTGGATGGTGTCCCTCTCTCTCTCTGTGTGAGTGACTGTGAGTGGCTGTGGTGAGGGCTGTGTGTTGGAAGGTGTCCCTCTCTCTCTCTCTCTCTGTGTGAGTGAGTGTGAGTGGCTGTGGTGAGGGCTGTGTGTTGGATGGTGTCCCTCTCTCTCTCTCTGTGTGAGTGAGTGAGTGTGAGTGGCTGTGGTGAGGGCTGTGTGTTGGATGGTGTCCCTCTCTCTCTCTCTGTGTGAGTGAGTGAGTGTGAGTGGCTGTGGTGAGGGCTGTGTGTTGGATGGTGTCCCTCTCCCTGTGTGAGTGACTGTGAGTGGCTGTGGTGAGGGCTGTGTGTTGGATGGTGTCCCTCTCTCTGTGTGAGTGACTGTGAGTGGCTGTGGTGAGGGCTGTGTGTTGGATGGTGTCCCTCTCTCTGTGTGAGTGACTGTGAGTGGCTGTGGTGAGGGCTGTGTGTTGGATGGTGTCCCTCTCCCTGTGTGAGTGACTGTGAGTGGCTGTGGTGAGGGCTGTGTGTTGGATGGTGTCCCTCTCTCTGTGTGAGTGAGTGTGAGTGGCTGTGGTGAGGGCTGTGTGTTGGATGGTGTCCCTCTCCCTCCCTCTCTCTGTGTGAGTGACTGTGAGTGGCTGTGGTGAGGGCTGTGTGTTGGATGGTGTCCCTCTCCCTCCCTCTCTCTGTGTGAGTGACTGTGAGTGGCTGTGGGGGATGAGAGCTGTGAGCCTGACTGGTGGCTGCAGTGCTGCTGAGCTGCTCTGCTCTCCTGTCTGTGTTGGGGCTGTGGAGCTGTGAGAGAGAGAGACACACAAACACACACACACACACACACAGAGAGAGAGAGAGAGAGAGTGAGAGGTGGAGTGGGGGTGTAGAGGAGAGACCAGACCAGTGGGAGTGGGAGTGGGGGTTACACTGAATCCACAGCGAGTAACATTGTAGCCAGAGCTGCAGAGCTACATTTGCTTCGGGAACTCCTCTCTACTCACAGCAGTTTCTTCCCTCCTCTCTCTCTCTCTCTCTCTTTCTCTCACTCTCACTCGCTCGCTCGCTCGCTCTCACTCTCTCGCTCACTCGCTCTCGCTCACTCTCAGCTCTGCCCATCTCCACCCGCCTCAATCGCTGCTTCTTCATGAGCTCCTCAGGATGTCAGGGAAACATTACAAAGGGCCTGAAGTCAGCTGCTGCATCAAGTATTTCATATTCGGATTTAATATCATCTTCTGGGTGAGTAGTATCTCTCCCGAGTGAGTGAGTGAGTGAGTGAGTGTGTGTGTGTATCTCTGTATAAAGCCGTCTCTCTCTCTCTCTCTCTCTAATGTATAATATATTTCGCCCACAATTACGCGGTCGATTCGCTTGACAGTATATTCCGTGAAGCGCTTTGAGACGTCTCGAAGACGGGATAAGGCGCTGTATCAAATGCGAGGATTGTTAACACTGTTATTAGTAGTATATAATTATACGCGCACCCCTATCTGTGTGTGTACGCGTGTGCGTGTGCGCGCGTGTGCGTGCGTGTGTGCGCGCGGGCGCGTGTGTGTGTCTAAAACTAAGACCATTAGCACAGTCTTGGAGCTGTGATCTTGACAGGTTCTGAGCTCAGGCGGATGAGAGACAGGGACTGTTTTGGAGAGAACGTTGTTAATGATGTCTGTTTCGGACCCTTTTGCAGAAGGCCAGACTGGGGAGACACAATGCAATCACAGATTTGCGTGTGTGTGGGTGTGTGGGTGGGGGGGGGGGGGGGGGGGTGGTGGGGGGGTGTGGGCTGTGGGAGAGTAAAAACACCCTACACTTACTTGAGCAATGATGGCGTATCGGTGTCAGATTTGTCAGACGGGGGCTTTGTGTACCACGGAGGTTGGTTAGAGGTGGGCGGTGGGTGGGTGGGTGGGTGGGTTGGGGTGAGGGTGAAGGTGGGGGGGTGGGCGGGGGGGGTGGGGGAGGATAGACCAGGGATTTTGGGTGCATTGACACAATCCCGAATGCAACCCTTTTGTGTTCCTGAAAACACCCACCGCTCACAACGCTGTATTTTACCTCAATGGGGTCATTGACCAAAAAAAAACACACATTTGTCAGCAAATCAGGGTAGGGTTCTGGTGTGGTAGAGCTTTATCTCATTCTTTAACTCTTTTTTGGAGGACAGAACAGTCGCATTTAACTCTTTCAATACTCGAGTCCGTGGTTTCAAACTGGTGGTAATTTCCTTTCCCCCCCCCCCCCCCCACCGCCCCCCTCCCCACTTTACAATGCTTTTGTTCACAGCGACTTTCGAGATCACCGTGAATTAGCGCTAAGCTAAACGGAGTTAAGGGTCAAACGTGTGGGCTGTAACATCACCCATAACGACAGTAAGGTTTGGACTGTTTGGCGGTCTGTGCTGCCTCTTATTGACCAGCGCTGGTGGGCAGAATAGCTGAACGTCACAGCTTTGGCGTCTCTCGATCACTGGGTTTCCGAAGAACCGCAATGTCCTGTACCTTCAGGCTTAACACCTCCCAGATACAGGACCTCCCTCTCCTCCCTCTCCTCCCTCCCTCTCTCCTTCCTCCTCCTGTGTTTTTTTTAAAAAACAACTCGCACGCGTGTAGTGACCTGACATGGTGCTGGGCACCAATGGACGGGAGGTGGGGGAGGGGGAGAAGGAATGAAGCGAGCGATTGTAAGACAACGGTTGAAGAGGTAGATCTTCAAGCAGCTCAAGGAGGGAGATGGTGAGGCAACAAGGGTTAGGGGGTTTCAAAGGGCGAGTGTGTGTGTCAGAGGGGTCATGACTGAACGTCTGGCCAGAGAGAGGGGAGACAATTGTGAATTGCCTTTTGCGTCGGAAGGACATCTTACAAGTGCTTCACACGGCCGACTTAGAGCCTGCGCTGGGGGTTGAGGGGTGGGTGGGGTGGGGGAGAAACTGAGGAGAAGAGGGGAAAGGTGGCCAAAGGCACGGTCAAAGAGAGACGAGAGTCTGTCCGGAGAAGATCACAGTTGTAGAGTGAGAGTGGGAACCAGGAGTAAGGATATTGAAGTCAATCCTCGAGGAGAAAGTCAGCCAGCGGAGCCCAGTGAGTACGGGGGAGAGGGGCGTGGGGGGTGGGGGGGGGGGGGGGGGTGATTAAGCTAAGCTTAGTAACTAGAAATTTATTATGAGGAACTTAAATCAAATTTATTTGGAAAGTCTTAACGGAATGATGTCAGAGTGAGTGTCACTATTTACTCTGTAACATCCTCGAACAATCGAAGGTTTGTCAAACGTTCTGCCCTTTATTTGATCGTTGCTCGTCGCTGACTGTCTATCTTGTTACCTGACACAGGGAGATTTACTTCAGTGAATGGAGCGCTTCCAATTTAGGAGGGACGGGAAACGCGTCGTGTTCTCACTCATTCTCACAGCGTAAATGAAATCAACCGCTGCACGACTTTTAAGCGCGATACCTCGATGTTTAAAAAAAGAGCCGACTCAACAATTTTGCCTGACATCAACAGCATGTAAAGTCGTGGAAACTTAACATGTAAAGTAACGCAAACTATTCTAAGAGAGAGAGAGAGAGAGAGAGTGGGGTCGGAGAGTTCCTGTGACTGTTTCAAGTTAATGAGAAACGTGTATTTACAAAGATCGTTTCTGACAAGATTGAGGATATTGCAGATCAAGTTAATGTGTGGCTTCCAGCGATGTCGTTTGGACTGTCAGAGAGGCTTTGACTTAAGTGCCACGCAGAAAAATTAAGCTGATGTAGAATTACAGGGACGACAAGTTTACGACTGTGTGGTGTCTTTCATGTTGGGAGGACCTCTTAAAGTGCTTCACACAACTGCCTGAGAGCCTGTGCTGGTGGGTGGAAGGCAGAGGAGAATCGTGGCCAAAAGCTCAGGCAAAGAGAGTGGGGTGTTTTTTACGGCGGATTTTGAAGGAAAGGGAGAGGGAAAGGGAGTGGTGGGAATCTCTGCGTTGGCTGTAGAGACATCTGAAAGGGACGTGGAATTGGGGTGAACCACTCACGGGAGTTGCGAGTTGCAAATTTGAAATAATAACAGTGTGGCGTTCAGTATAGCGTCAGCCTTCACGTCTCAGGGCGCAGTGGGAGGGGAGCGTAGGTGCAATGAAAGAGGTAAGTCTTCAGTGGCGCACAGCAGTGGTCCCACAAATAGAGTAATGGTATCTTTAACGTCCACCCTGAGGGGGTGGCTTGGCTTTTACATCTTTCACTGATGCTGTTCCTGCAAACTCCACATTGGGGTAGAAATCTACCAGAGGCCTGACCGAGGCAGGTTTAAGGTGCCTGGTGTAGTTTCCTCCGTTAAAGTGTAGTTTGGGTAGAATGAACCATTCTAGAAGGACAACGTATGGCAACATGTGTTCATCAGATATTTGGTTAAAAAAAGAAATCCTTACATTTGACTTAAAGTATTTGCGTCATCCAATTCGGGAGGATGTCGCAAAGTGCCTCACAGGGTGTGTGTGTGTATATATATATATATATATATAGGTTCAGCCTTGTTTCGAATCAGTTGGACTTCGAGAATAGTTTACAGCGTAAATTGTAATGACTACAAATATTGTAGGTGAACACCTACATTTCCGGCTTTTCCAAAAGGCGGAGCAATAGGTACAATTACTGTGGTTCACTGATCCTTGCTCTGTCAGGACATTTACGAGGCAGAAATTTGAACAAGGCACCCGATGGGACTCAAGACTGGAATCCTTGAGGAACTGAGGGAGAAAATTCCTACTGCGGTTGATGTGCTTTGAAGCTCCCAAGTATACAGGAATTGTGCAGGATGGATAAGAGGTTTGCTTGCATTTTATTCAAGGTTTGCTTGCATTTCTGTCCCTGGCTGTGGGCCTGTTAAGCATAGGAAACCGTGCGTAATGGGTGAGGTGGTGAGGTGTAAAAGCAGACGGGGGAAGTGGTTATGTGGTTAGTGATCGGATACTGATGGTTCTAATCTACACAAATGGCCAGGATGCACAAGCTGACAAGACCGAGACTGAAACTGTACCAAATGTTTTGAACAAGGATTCAGATCAGAGAGACAGACACCCGATCAATGAAATGCACCACTGATAAATGTGATCGTGTGTTTCTACCGTTTTTTTTTGTTGTTTGGTGCTTTGCCTGGAGTTCCAATACTTAATAGTGTAGACTGTAGTATAATCCCAACACGTTAAAGTAAAATCCAGGTTCAGATATTTTGTCCACAAAGTACACTCTACAGTATATTCTGTGAGGCGCTTTGAGACATATCAAGGACCTGCTAAGGCACTGTATCAGATGCGAGGATTACTTTTATTTTATTTTAAAATTCATTTCGTAGGCAAGTGTCGCTCCTTGGACTTCAGTCTTTCGGACTGACTGATTTGCTGCTGTAGGTTTTCTAGCGATAACATGGGCTGCGCTACGCAGACAATAATAATAATAATAATAATCCTTGCATTTGATATAGCGCCTTATCGCGTCTTCTGATTGAAAGGACATGACCTGAACGGGCCTGCTGACTTCACTTAGCGTCTGGCACACAACACTGTGCCAAGGTTTTTTTTGTTCCCGATTTTTCCTAACGCAACTCGGTCACCTCCAAAACAATTCCGAGAACAGAATCCGGTGAAATCCAGGCCGCTTATTATTTGTGGTCACCGTCTCTGGTGTAAGAGTATATCAGTCATGCTGAGCGTGTGCATCGGCGCAAACACTTGAATGAGGGGCAGAGACGTCCCAGAGATGGGAACAGTTCAGCAACCTCCACTGGTCATTCTGAACGTGCGCAGCTGGTAAGCACTGGTTGACTTTCTGTTTACATGGGTTGGTGCCCTTGGAGCTGTCGCAATCTTCTCTCGTCGAGTTTGAGTCATCGCTCAGCCGGTTTGAACGGCGGGGCTGAAAAGACACTCTTCAAAGGAAATGCGGTGTGAGCGCCTGACTTGTGTGGCAGATTGGCTCTGTCGGTAGCTTTTATTTCAGAAGGTTGGGGTGGGTTCCATTTTATTTGGGTCAGCTGGAGGGTGGGGGGGGGGGGTGGTTTGTGACACATGCGGAAACCCATCACCGTGCTTAAGAGGATCCAAACCGAGCTGAGATTTCCACGCAGCCCACCTACACATGGAAAGCCCAGAGATAGGTTGTTGGAATGGATGTACACTCTTTTCCCTAACGAGACACATCCTGTTTGCCTAATTCCGGAAAGTATTAGGCGCAGGTGGGCGAGAGCTAAGGCTTGGGGACCTCGGA